AGGTACAACTCGCCCCGAGGCCAACTCGCCCCGATTTTGGGGCGAGTTCCGGATGCAAGGTTTCGCCAACTCGCCCCAATCGGCCAAATTTGCAAAATCTCGCCCCATTCCAATTTAATGGTACAACGCGAGTGGTGAAACGCTCGTGTTCCGCTTTTGTCGTTGAAAATTGCCAAATCCATGGGTAGATAAAATTCATGATCCATTCCATGGAGTGGGAATTTCCCCTACCCAGTGGGTCAGAAATCGTCGAAAATGCATCCACGTTGAAAATTTCAAGTTGTGACTTGGAGTTCTGTTTCGTGCCCACGGCCCACGGCTTGTAAATTCAAGTTGTTGGTTAGAGAACGCACCTAATCCCATAAAGACCACATTGAGGTACTAAGAGAAAGTGGTCCGAGTGTGAGGTCGTGCGGGAAAAAAAAAACTTTGCTGTGGGGATCAACTTGGGTCGATAGGCAAAATTCGATAGTAGAAATAGAGAATCCGATGCCCACAGCCAGGAGCTGGTTGTCAAGACCGGACACTTGTACGATGAGAACTAAGCTGAGGTTTGTTGGTTTGACGACCAAAGTTGATCCCCACAACAAAGCCTTTATTCTTCCGTGCGACATCCACATCACGGGGGGGGGGGGGGGAGGCACCCCCCAAACTAGCGGAAGAGGTGACTGGAGCAGGCTAAGCAGCGAGCATCCACCGCGTTTTCGACGGATAAGCGGCGGACTACAAAGAGAACGACGACGTCGTCATCCCCCGAGCACAATAGGCTCCGCCTAGAGCTTCAAACAAGAAAACTACTACTACTACTACCCACCTCAGGACCATTGGCAACAATCTTTTAGGATACTTCTAAATAAGACACTGAAAATTCCTTGTAAAATTCATTTTAATTGGGGCGAGTTAGCACTGGGGCGACCTGGGCTGGGGCGAATTGGGCATGGGGCGACTTGGGACTGGGGCAAGTTAGCTGGGGCGAGCTGTCCTAGATCCGGTAGGCGCTGGTCACGTAGTATTCGTCAGATTCCCGTCCCGTTTTGCACCACCAAAACACCGCGTCGTTTCCTCTAATCCGTTCAGGGTGCTCCCCTTTCGACTAAAGTTTTGTCCGTTTGGCGCTATATTTCACCGATTGGGAGCTAGAGTGGGTTGTTCGACGAAAATGCGGTGAACATGACTATGCTCGATACAAGGTAGATGTACGCCAGACCACGTCTCGCGTAGCAGGCTTCGCGATATCTCACGAAACACTGTTACGCTGCGACGCGCCCGGCATACACCTACCTTGGCCTGCGGCGCTGACACCCGAGTCGAGTTGTGCCAAAATGCACCCAAGGATACAGGCCTCCGGCCCGTCAACGGCCCGTCACTTCGACTAAACATGCACTGTGAAAAATATATTTGTACATGTACGATATATTTTGTAATTTGCCATTTACAATACGAGTCGCACATGTACAACCTCCCACTGTCGCTCCATATTCGATTCCAAGTCGATACATAGGGCTAGTAAATTGTACAATTTTATATTGTACTTGTACGACTTCTTCCATGGAAAATTTTCCTGTACCCGTACGACAATTTTTCACAGTGATGCAGGGTTGTACATTTTTTCGCTTATTTTTGTCAAGAACACCCTCTAGGGCCTCAATGGTTTGAGCTAGAGCAAAACGGAGCCCAAAGGGCTGTACTTTGATGAGTTACCTCCTAGGAAACCATAACAAAAAATATTTTCAAAAAACGTCATTTTTGGGACCCGTTGTTTTTGATTTTTTCACAAATCTAATTTTTGAGCTAGAATGCTCATCTTCGAACTCGATCTTTCTTTTTATAACACAAAACGACCCCGAAAATCCCAGGTCGCAAGCTCAATTCGTTTTCGAGTTATCGTGCGGACATGCAGAGAAACAGACCATTCCAAATCGACAATTGTCTTCGGATTCACCGTATTTTTCAAATTTCTGAAGCTATTCTAGTTTCACTGTTGATCCTGTTCCTAAAACAAAACAATCGAAAAAACTGGTAAAATAAATTGCAGAAGAAAATAAATAATTGGAATTCTTTCCTACCCGTTTTGTTGAAGTAATACATATTTCGTATTTCAACTCAAAAAGTCATAAACCGTCGTTTCCTAGCTTGTGCGCTATTTTTCAGGCGGAAATGGGCAAAATATGGTTTTACTACGTTGGCCCGGTACTACGGTCGGTCACGGGAGGGGGAGGGAGGGTCCAAAAATTCCCCAAAATGAACTACGTAGTGTATGAACGGCCCATATCCATGCCCTTCCTTGTGGCAATTGGTGGACATGGATGGCTATAGGTGGCCATGACATGGATGGCCATGGGAGCAGTGTTCATAGCATGTTAAAGTGGTCATGGCCTCAGTGGCAAGGAAATTTCAATATCCTTTAAGAACTGTGTGTTTTGGGAATTTGATCTGATATTTGTTTCGTAGCTTCTTCCTTGTATTTTGGTAGGGCCATTTTAATTTCATTGATACGGAAGATTTTTTTAATGCAACTTGTAAATTGCTGGAGCTAGGCCAAAACAGACACCGGATTCGGTTCCGCTTCGGTTTGGGCATCCCTAACGAGGGGTGGGCGACTTGAATTTTTCGTGTACACAGGAGTACGGAGTACACGGAGTACAGTCGGAGAACACTGAGTATTGCCGGTCGGAGCGCGCAGAGTACACCTGGAGTACAGTCGGAGTACGCGGAGAAATTGCGACAAAAACAGCCGGAGTCCACGGAGTACAGTCGGAGTACAATCGGAGAACACCTGGAGTACATTTTGGCCTGTACACAGGAGCCGCCCAGTCATCCACCCCTCGATCCCTAATACGGGTGCCGGACATCTCGCCCCAGCTAACTCGCCCCAAATACAACTCGCCCCGATTTAAGGGCAAGAGGGCAAAGTTCCGGATGCAACGTTTTGCCAACTCGCCCCAATCGGCCAAATTTGCAAAATCTCGCCTCATGCCAATTTAATGGCACTAATACCATGCCACCCTTCACCCCAGCTGCCCCACACTGCAAAAAATAGCAAAAAATGGCAGAATAAAACCTGTCCAGGTGCTGTTTTGTCATATTTTGGGCTACTTTGACCCATTTAGTGCTCAATGACTTTGAACAGGTCTCGGCATGATGGGTATCGATTCTATAGTTCTAGAGGTAGGAGTGTTTAAGGTAAGGCTCCACTGAAAAAAACGCGTAATTTCGTCAAAAAATCAAAAATGGACGGGGCGAGTTAGCTGGGGCGAGCTGTCCTAGATCCCTGAATACGTATCAAGACTTTACAATTTTCATGAAATAAAATGGCCATTGCTACTGCTTCTTACTATGGCCAAGATCCACATTATACCGTGGCAATGGTGGCCATGCTTGATACGATTGTCCCGGCCACTAGCACCAATGGCCATAAATGGCCATGGGCATTTGGCCATGGACGGCCATGGCAAACGCGTGGCCATGGGAACGAGGTATTTTCCGAATTAGAAGAACAAGAGGAATATCGTCTGCTCCCGGACCATCACAAAGCCTCGACCAATCAGAGAGAGCCTCTCTCGGCCTCTCTCGTGGCCGGCTCCAGAGAGGCCGCCTCTGATTGGTCGAGGCTTTCTGATGGTCCGGGAGCAGACGATATTCCTCTTGTTCTTCTAATTCGGAAAATACCTCATTTCAGCCTGGGGGTGGGGGTGGATCATCGAAGGTTGACTGACTAGGGTTAGGACGTGAGGAGATCTGGAAGGGAGTTGGTGGAGTACAGTAGGACGGGCGTTCGAGAACACAGAGTCGACTTATTGCTGAGCGAAGCGAAGCTCTCCGGAACAGTGGA